AAAACAGAATGAATGAAAAATACAATAATAGAATATTTTTACTGTTAAAATAGTGCTCAATACATCAATTGTAGAGTCACATAGAAATATTAAAACAGAATGAATGAAAAATACAATAATAAAATATTTTTACTGTTAGAATAGTGCTCAATACATCAATTGTAGAGTCACATAGAAATATTAAAACAGAATGAATGAAAAATACAATAATAAAATATTTTTACTGTTAAAATAGTGCTCAATACATCAATTGTAGAGTCACATAGAAATATACAGAATGAATGAAAAATACAATAATAAAATATTTTTACTGTTAGAATAGTGCTCAATACATCAATTGTAGAGTCACATAGAAATATTAAAACAGAATGAATGAAAAATACAATAATAAAATATTTTTACTGTTAAAATAGTGCTCAATACATCAATTGTAGAGTCACATAGAAATATTAAAACAGAATGAATGAAAAATACAATAATAAAATATTTTTACTGTTAGAATAGTACTCAATACATCAATTGTAGAGTCACGTAGAAATATTAAAACAGAATGAATGAAAAATACAATAATAAAATATTTTTACTGTTAGAATAGTACTCAATACATCAATTGTAGAGTCACATAGAAATATTAAAACAGAATGAATGAAAAATACAATAATAAAATAATTTTACTGTTAGAATTGTGCTCAATACATCAATTGTAGAGTCACATAGAAATATTAAAACAGAATGAATGAAAAATACAATAATAAAATAATTTTACTGTTAGAATTGTGCTCAATACATCAATTGTAGAGTCACATAGAAATATACAGAATGAATGAAAAATACAATAATAAAATATTTTTACTGTTAGAATAGTGCTCAATACATCAATTGTAGAGTCACATAGAAATATTAAAACAGAATGAATGAAAAATACAATAATAAAATAATTTTACTGTTAGAATAGTGCTCAATACATCTATTGTAGAGCAATATAGAAATAATGTATATATATGCAATAAATAATATTGTAATTGAATTTTCAGATGTGAACTACAGAATGACCGTAATGAAACATTCTTAGAAACTCTACGTAAAAATCTAACAGAAAGAATACAAATGGTTTTAATTGTGGTACCTAATAATAAAAAAGATCGTTATGATGCTATAAAAAAATTCTGTTGTGTTGAACACCCTGGTATGTATACTAATAAGACAAGATTTATTTGTCAAGTCAATGTTTTAATTGTGGAGTGAATTTTTAGCTTTCCATAGCTCATTTCAGAATGAAATTTCAGTTTTAACTGTGACAGACCCTTTTAGACTGTATTTAGTTATAGTCAGTCCGGCAAACTTGAAGAAGTTGTATTATCACAACATCTTCAACAGTCTATATTAAAATCCTTGTTAAGCTCAGGGAATGGGAAACTTATGTAATATTTTTATTTACCAAAAGTACAATATTTCTATCTGTGTTAAAATCTCTCTATATTACAGTACCATCTCAAGTAGTAGTAGCTAGAACATTGTCTAAAAAACAGATGTTGATGTCAGTAG